ACATCACTGTGTGGGAAGCATAACAAAAGTTATATTGACGTCAGACCGTCTTAGTCATGTGCAGTGAGTGATGACCCACAGCTTCACTGCACCAGGAGGGCATTGGCTGCAAACATACACTCATATTTTTCTTAGCGTGTTGCCAATGTAGGCGAACTTGCTCGCATTTTGCACAGCGCTTCGTATCGTCACGCAGACCTGTGAAGGCGATATTAGAGAATTTGTTTGTTTATACACCTATTTTTTTTAGTGTGCTGGGTCACCATAGTTGTGAACGTGAGGGGTCAGATGGGTGAGGCAACTGGTAGTGCTAAGATGAACCAGACAAGCATAGAATTGTTATTGCAGAAATTTAAATGTATTTTACTTCTCTGCTGGTTTAAGTCTTGGCACCAGCGTAGTTCTGAATGAATTACCTCTTTAAAAATTTCATTGCCATGGCCTCTCAGTGGAGTGGTGGTGGGGGGGAAGCACGTATAATTGTGGTTCCACAAAGCATCACTACATGGGCTCAGGGGTTCATCCAACTGTTTTGAACGTCGATGAACTTGCCCATAACAGTGTGCGAGAAATTGCGAGCCGCGGCGGTAAGGGGGGGGGGGGGGGGGTTTGGAGGCGAGTTGGCAGAGAGCTTCAAGGATCCACTTGGAACTTTTGACGAAGTTACTTCTCACTACCAACTGTCAATGTGGAGGTACCCTCTCCCACATTCTAAGCTCACTAGAACGCGGTCGGCTTTTCGGATGCTGCAGGCAGGTTCGTTCCTGTGTTGTAGCACGTTTAGTCACTTTGCTGAGGGCATAAACCCACGATGCCCTAGCTCTGGAAAGATAATTGCACACTTACTCACATGCTCTGGCAGTGCTCGGGGTCATGCATCGCAGTGTTCAGCACAGAACAGGACTGGGAGAGGGCCCTTAAAAGCTCCGAGTTCTTAGTTGTGCTCTTGGCAGTGGAGGAGGCCTATGCACGAGCGGAGAACCATAGTTTCCGGTGCCAGCATGGGCGCGGTCAGCAACTGCAGCAAACCCCCCTTTGGGGGGTGCCTGATCGGGTTCTCCAGGTCTAAATAAAGTTCATTTCACCTTCACTAAGATGTCGATGCTATAGTACAGTAAACCAGCACTCCGCTAACATCTGTGTGTATGTTAGAATTCCATACACGCAAATATTCTTTGTTAGAGTTTTTAGTGAGTGTTCCGGCAGTGGCTTGCATGTGTGTGCGAGAGCATATGATCCAGCCCTGCACACGTCAGCTTTGTGGGCCCATGTGTTCAAGCTTTCTAAATAGTGGCATCACTGTCCAACTCAGTACTCAGAAACCGAAATTTAAAGTCATTCGCATGAATAAGATTATTTTCAATTATTTAGCTAGAATACGTGAATCTTGGAGTGGGCATCATGCTTCCTGGAACAATAAGAAACATTTGCAAGAAAGAATTCGCAAGCCACAGATCGATGGTACCAGCTCTTTAGTTGGCAAACGGGAGGGAACCCAGCCCATTTGCTGCATGTAGCAGCTTGCTGAGGCCCATGTGGAGCTTTCATTTCTTTCTTGTCAGCAATTCTAAGTGTTATATTAAAGGTGCAGACCAAGAAAAGCAACACCAACAAGAAAGGTTGTTTTTTGAAGTTGCCTAACTGAAAGCACATGTTGCTATATACCACATTGCACCATACTCTTGCTGTATTATATGATAAAGAAAATGACTTTTGTTGTACTGTAGTATTGTTAGTTTATGTTGCAGGACTATGTGCCGTGCATCGTGTTCATTCATTTTTAATGTGGCTGACGAATTTTGGTTAGATATAGTCCATTTTACATTTGCATTGTAGCTGTCTTTTGCTTGCAGTCTAACCATAACTGCTGCTTGCTTTTCTAGTCTGCAAGTGATGCTACTGGCTTAACATTTCATACACCATGAGCCAGATTTTTTACAATAATGTGCTAGCGTCATCTGCACACCGCATAAGTGCTTTATAATGATCACATGAGTGATAATACATGCACATGGGCAAAATGCTGCTTGCTGCACCAACGTATGCTATGTTCTTGCTTTTAAAAATGCACATGCTGCCTTGATTTTTTGCGGTTAAGCCCAATTGTTCACAGGAATTTCTGCCGCTGCCTTCTTCATGTTGATAAACTTCTTTTATTTGCTTCCTCATAGATGGTTTCAGTGATGCAAAACTGGGCGATCTTTTCGTAGGTGCTTTGTGTTACTTGTTTACTTTATATATTATATACCTAATAGCAGGAGAGGGCACATAACTCTGGCAGAATACACGTCCTAGCGATGTCAACTGCACAGAAAATGGTGGTCGCATCAAAGTGTACGTTGCACACTTGTGCATGCTATCGCCATCTCACTATTGCTCACTGTAACTGAAGTGCTAGGTGTCAGAATGGCCATTGCTCAGTTGATGTTAAACATCTGGCTGGGCTTCGTCCAAGCATGGTCATTTCTGCTAGAGCCATCTGCAGTATCCCAATACTGTGAGGGAACACTAAAGATATGCAGTCTTACTGTGAGCAGAGTTACAATAAACTAAAAATGACTTTTAAGGGATGATGGGAACAAATAGAAGTAGCTGTGTTAATTTCACATAGTGTTGCGAGAATTAGACTATGTCTGTTCAGAACTTTTGAACAATTTACCAATCAGAAAGGATTGCATTGTTTATTAAAGAAACCTAGAAGTCGACATTGTGAGCTTGTTTTAAAAAAGCTTTCAGATCTTTAACAACTACTTTGGTAGGGTCACCGCCCAGAAAGGCATTGGTCTCGTGTTTCAATCCACAGACTAGAATTATTTTGTCGACTAAGAAGCTTTCTTTCGAAAAAGTTCATATGGATTTCCATGTAACATTACGGTAAAGATGGGTGGTTGTCAGTTTTTCCTTTTGTAACCTTTCCACCACTCGGCAGGATTCCACAGAACTGATCACCATTAAACAGTGGATGTTTGCACATCTTGTCAGGCACATGTAAATGTATGGAATTTCAACAGAAATCCTTCACACATTTGCAGGTACTGGCAGGCGCTGTTTGTTTCTTTTGCCGTTATCGGGAAGTATTTCAGCCACTATGTTGCTTGATGGCGTTTTGTGCAGACATAATAAGTGTGTGCAGTTTCATACAGTATTATATAAAATTGTTGTAAATGGAAGTTCCCATGTGACATAAAGGTGGGTGCAGTGTCAATGCAAAATTGCAGTACTGTAGCTGTAAGGCATTATATCTGCATTTAATATTAATGGCGTGACCTTTACACAGAAGGCTTTGCATATATAAGACTGTTGAATGGGGAACTACCTCATATTTGTACCACATAACTCAAGCTGAAATGTGAAAGAAAAATCTTTAAGATAAAGTGTGATTGTGGGTTATATGTTATTATTTAGCGGAGTGCATCTTCATATAGGTACATATGGGTATTAGTAGCAGCCATAAATGTTCAATGCTGCTGTAGTAATCGGTATAAAGGAAACTAACCAAAGGAGGAATGTGTGGAAAGTTTCTTGAGCGATTGTATCTCCACTAGTTGCCTTGATAGAAGTCGGAGAGAGGAATCTTAGAAAATGAAATTATGGAGTAATGTATGAATGATGTGCAATGCGAATCTTAGTGACTAGCTTTAAAAACAAATAATGTCTGTGTGTCAAAGGAGACGAGATAGAGGTGCCTGACACGATGAGAGCATTGCTCAACTGTCACTACATGCGGCCTTGCTTACGTTGCATCAGAGTCTTCTGGTCTTGGATAATGTCCTACATGCTGTCTGTACATAATATCTTGTTGGCTTGAAAGTAGTTTTAGTGTTCATAAATAAGGAGTTTCATGGCCTTGTCTACTCTCCTCTCTTTTGTTGCACTCCTATTGAGATGACAGAACAAGAACGCAAGACTGATGCTAACTTACAACCTTTGTTTAATGATGAACAGCAGCATTCTTACTTGCACGTCATGGTGCCAGCATCGGGTATTACCGTGGTGATAAGGCAAACAGAAGAAAGAGTCACAAAGAATCACTGTGGCCTCATAAACATCCCTATTATTATCATGTTTGTTTGTGCAATCATGGGCATATATCGACTAGTTATATCTTGATTGCATAAAGCACAACAGTTTCGTTAGACACTTATGAACTTTGCAGAGAAAGCACATGTGCTGAGAGGCCAACTAATGAATTATTTATGTGGTTCTAGCAGCCCAAATACCTGCCTTCTATTTCCAACAGTGAAGCATAGTTTCTGATAAACAATAAGTGGTTTATAATGTCAGCATGTGTCTTCTAATACTCTTTTTTTTTTTGTTGTCTAAACTAGGGGTCGGCAACATTTTGAGGCAGTTAAGCTGACTCAGTGGCGACCAGTCAGTGGAGGAAGGAAGGGAGGGAGGGAGGGGGAGACTTTGCAGGCGAAGTTAATAAATTGGGCAAATTGATAATAATGTACAAAACTGGAATAGAAAAATGGTTTTTCAGCATGCATGTCAGAAAATTGCAATTTACAAACATGGGTAGTAATGCAAACTGTTCGCAGCCTTTCGATGTTACCGTGTAATCCTATTTTAGTTCAAAATATATGTTGACCTTTATACAGAAAGTGATAAGGGGAGGAGGGTTTCTGACATCGTGCTGGGGGCCGCATAATGCTGCCCAGTGGGCCAAATGCAGCCCGCGAATCGCAAGTTGCCGAACCCTTGTCTAAACTGGTACACATTAGTGTTCTTGTTTAGTACCTTCATAATTTGTTGGCAATGGTCATTGAAGACTCTCACTTCACCTGAGTTAAAGCATCTATACTGGCTACTTTAAGGGGTGGGTGGGAAGGGAAATGTTTACAGAATATGGGAAGTGCAAAATGTGGATAGAAAATACAATACTAGCTTGCTGCTACGTTTTGTTGGTGTTCAGTATTGCATTGTTTGTATTTACTGTCTTGCTTTATTTTTGTGGTCAATGCTGAAGCCTTCTTCATTCTTTCTTCTTGTTGTAGGAGCATGAAAAGCGGTGCTGGAGTGTTGATTTCAACAAGGCTGACACTAAGATTATTGCATCAGGGTCAGATGATGCAAAAGGTTCGTGGGCAAATATTTTTCGTGCCTCTAATTTCAACCATTGCTTCCATAATATTTCTTTAAATGCTTTATACTTCTCAATGTGAAGATAACAAAAATAGTATCTCACTTAGTGAAGGCAGTATTAAAGGCATGTTCTCATGGAAAAAAACAGGTATACTATATTCATGCTAGGCTGAATAATTATCATACACATAAGAGAAACTTGAAAAAAAAAAAAAATGCAGTGAAAAGTTTCAGAAAAGTGGGCTTTTGTCAGAACAGTAAGTGATTTCAAGAATCGAAGGCATGCTTAAGAAGCAAATTTGGACGGCTTAAGTTGCAAGAAAGCAGCAATACTTGTCAGAAGATCAATGTCTTGAAAGGTGAGGATGAAAATCAGGTTATTGCATCAGTAAAAGAAACTCATCAAAGTAATTTATTTAGATTTCTTATATTTACCACAATTTGTATATGCCACAGTACTGTTGCATAGGCTGTCCCGAAGTGCATTAGGAAAGAACTAATGGAGCATTGAAGAAGTAAGGCCCTTGATGAGGCTTATGGTAGAACAACTGCTGGTACAGTGGTGTGTCCTTTATTTTTTGACAGTGCATGTCGGGACTTTTAGTACAAGAGAGGCCTCTATGGTGCCCTAGGAAATTGCGGGCTTGATGCCAGCTGCAGCGAGGTTGCTTTTCATTGGAGGCAAAAATGCTGGGGGCCCAAGTACGGTGCGATTCTAGTGCATGTTTAAGAACCCCAGGTGTTGTAAATTATTCGGAGTCCTCTTCTAAGCCATCTCTCATAACTTGAGTTATTTGGGACATTAAACCCCATAAACAAACTGAACTTGAGTAAAAGGGGAGAAGGTATTGCGAGTGAAACACAGTTGCTCGAGTTGAGTGAAGGAAGATAAAGCGATTGCTTTATGGATGAAACACGTGTTTCTCCAGAATATTTTTACGCTATGAAGCAAGCTGCATGGCATTGAATTGCTTCTATATCAGATTTGATATGGGCTTGGCACAGGTGCCAGATGTCAGGCATGTACTGTAAGCATAGGAGCAGCTTATGTTAATAACAATACTCATTATTATATTCTCTTCTTTCTTCCTTTTTAGTGAAGTTATGGTCTTTATCCTGTGACCATTCAGTGGCCTCTCTGGAAGCCAAGGCAAATGTTTGCTGTGTGAAGTTCAACCCAGACTCAAGATATCACTTAGCGCTTGGCTCTGCCGGTAGGTTTATTTCACTGCCTGTTCACTGATGTTGACTCCCATACCAAGAAGCAAATATTTTTTTTTATTTAAAAGAACCATACATAAGCAAACTCTTTATTTAATGTCTGACTGAGCATTTCGCTCATGAAATTCTTTTGAGTACATGATTGAAGGCTCAAGTCTTGGCTGTGGCAGTTATAAATCAATGCAAAGAACATGCAACAATACACATGTTTAGTACATTTCTGCATGAATTTATGTTTCAGCCTCAGCATCGGCTATTCTGAGCTGTAGGCTCTCAACACAGTCACTCTCTCATAGCAACACTCAAGTAAACACCATAATGTTGATCTGGAGTATGAATGAAGGGTTTATCACGAGGCAAACAACAAAAAGGGGCATACATACTACTGTGCAACGTTAACAGTACGCAACTTATTCAACCCAATATGTTTCTCGAAACGTGATCTTGGAATGCAGTTAGATTGGCATTGCGTTGTCCAAATTGTTATGGTGACTCCTTCAATAAGGAACAATCACATCTCCTTGGTATGTTTACTGGATTACTGAAAATGTTAGACCTAACTGTTCCATTCTGGTTTTCTTTTTCTTTTAAAATGTGGGTGGGTGAAGGGAGAGGGTGACAGCTGGAATCAAATGAAAGCACTCTTGCATTGTTGGGTGTTTTAAGTGACAATTGAAGTGGTGTTTTATTTTTAGTAAGCACTAATTATGCAAGCAAGATGTGTTTGAGACTGTTGATCCCTTGCTTTTACCTTTCACTGTGCTTGATTATAAAGGGTGCAGTCATTTTATTGGCACCTAAATCAAAAACAAGTTATTTGGAAACTACTTTGGTGAAATAAGAGGAAAGTCAATTTAAGTTTAAGATGACGGTTTAATTAACTGTGTACATTTGTATTTGAACATTAAACGTGTGCTTGTCATGGAAATCCGAGTGCACTGAACAGTGCCAGTATTCTCTTTGAGCGTGGAATATGTATGAACAGACTACATTTGTTTCAATCCACATATGTTCATGTTTCACTTAAGTTTGATGTAATGCCGATGTGCTTTTGGTGTGCTCATTGCATCACGATTTAAATGTCACTATATTATAATGGGTTAAGGTGTTACAAGTTTCTTGTGCAAGGTGTACATCCTTGGAACTCTCTAGTTTTTTCCAATTGTGCAGTATAGGCTTATGTGCTTGTGTTGGAATGGCACTGACCCCTGGTTTCGTTTTGTTCTTTGTGCTTTCCCTTAGAGGAGGATGGATGCTCTAGGCTTGGTATCTATACCCAATACTGTTACTTGCTGCTTGCACTTATGCTAGCATGATTAGCTGTTGAACTTGGTGGCACTGAAAATAGAGAGTTGTAACTTTTTTGCATGGGCACCAGTTTTAGAATGCAGCACTGTGGCACATTTTTTGTTTCTTTCTTTCTTTTTGTGTTTGTGGTATTATTTTCCGCAGCTGCCACTGTCTTTAGTTCTGAAACGTGCAAATGGTTTTATGGCTTTGCTGTTCTTTCAGTGTTTTGTTGTCATTTTGCATAGTGTAGTGCACTTTACTTTGTGTTTTCATCTTCCTTTATCTGTAAGTGCATTGAACATGCTGGTTGAGAGCACAATTCATTTAGGTGTCTTGCAGCATAACGAAGTTGCCTATAGGTACATGAATAATGAAGTGATCATTGACTATAAGTGTAGATATCATTTTGTTGTGACCATGATCTCATTTTCTTGATAGCTTAAGTATAGAATGGAGTTACTCTCCTGTTTTTGAAATGAGTAGTGTTGTGGGTTATGTGTCTGTAGCATTGTTTGCCCTGGCTCAACAGTAGAGCCACTATAAAGTTATTGAAAAACATAGTTCTGCAATCATGTTAGGATGTCTTTCAGTTCTGGAAGTGCGTGGCCGTATCTAGTTAGCTGCAATAGATTTCAGAGCAGCAATTAATTTTTTAAATTTATCTGGCTATAGGTTAAACTATGCCTTAGGTTATATAGATCCTTTCTAGTATAACTGCATTGCTCCTATCATAGTTAAGCATGTGACTGAATTTATTTTTTTCTGGTGAAGACTGTCTTTTTATAATCTGTGACAGTGTTTCTTTTATGCATCCGCTGTAGTGGGAGTAAGACTCTTGTTGCAGTTAAGTTGTAAAGAACCCACAGGAAAGAGAGAAACTATAAGGATTCTGGTGGTAAATCATAAGCAGAAAGGCTAGAGTTAGAAGCATAGTAAATATCTAATTAATATACCATAGAATGCTTTGCAATTTCGTATACTTTCAGCATGTTAATGAAGGGATGTATACAAACTTGGAAAACCTGGAATTCTCAGAGATTTTGGGTAGTATGGGAAAAGTCTGGAGGGGGAGAGGATTAAATTTGTGCTCTCAGCAGGGAAAATCTGCTGTGACTTTACTGAAAGGGAACAGAAGTCGCAGTAATGCTGGCTCAAGGTTTTCTGAATGCATTTTCGCAAATCGTGCTGCGGCTAAAAGAAAAGCGTGCACCTCTATGCTCTCCTCATATTTGGACTTTGGCAGAGTGGGAGATCATTGGGCTAATTTTATGCGTCACATGCAGAGGTGTTCTGTGACTACGTACTACAGAGTGCAGTCAGAAAACATCTTAACATGCACTTTATGTAGTTCCGTATTCTGCACTGTGCATGCCGTGCGTTAGGGCCCAATATGGTGCCTCTGTTACCGCCGCGTGTGAAGTGACAAGTATGAGTAGTTGCAGAAGCAGGAACAGCAAATGCAGCAAGCTCTCAGTTATCTTGCAAGCGATCGTGATCTTTCAGGGCATGGATGTCATTGACAAGGATATCTTGCAAGCCATCCTGATTGGCTAAAAAACAATGCGCCCACTTTTCTGCAGATATAGACCAGAATTTTCAGCAGTTCAATTGCAGGGCGCCTCCACGTTTGGCCGACCCAGGCGCTGTGGTGAGCATTTTTTTGGGGGCTGCTGAAATGCACTGGCACTCAGTGCGGTGCACCACGTTTGTCGCTCTCAGCAGCGGGCGATGGCAGATTCACAAGCGCTGCAGCACAATAAATTTAGGGAAAACATTCAGGAGAAACCTGAAAAAATCAATGAATTTAAATATGCCGACATGGTAGATGCCCTGTTATGCTGAAACAAGAATTACAGCAATCTGATTTTGATCTCCCATTTCAATTTATATATTTCTGATTTAGTTGAGACCATTTTTGACACAAACAAATAGTTCATATGCTGTAGATAAAACCAGAAAATAGTAACGTTGCTACAGTAAGAGGTAAATCTGCTTAACAGTAAACTTCCAAGCTTCTGCCAAATATTCAAGAAAAAAAACTTCCTCATCATTATTGACAGCCTCCAGAGTATGTTAAACCTGTGCTTGGTCTCTTTAGACGTAGCTTGGCACCATTAGACAGTTATAGTTAGGCGGGCTTAGCAGGATAGCGGGCTTATTGGAATAACGGGATCGAAATGCGTATGCGCAATACGCTAAAAGACCCTTATTGTGTACCGTCCGCATGGTATTTCTCATATTTAACATTACCGTGTTTGCGTGGTCTACATAGTGTACGTAAAACATGGTGGCAACTTTGGGCGCCCGCTTTGAACTGAATTTAGAGTTGGTGGGGACCGATACACTTCTTTCATACCTAACGACTGTGCAAAATAGCCTCGCTTGGCTTCAGGTAGCTTCGACGATCGAGTATTATAGATAACTTAGCCTAGTTTTTGAGATAGCGTCGTATTTCGAATGTCCCTAGGCCTAATTAGATCGGTGCAGACAAATCTGGAGCATAAAAATTTGAACTTTAGGTGCGTGGTTCATATTTGTTTACTTTTGTTATTACTCAAAAAGGAAGTAGTAATATTGCTGCGTGCGGGGATTCAGGCGAGAATTCCCAGTTTTTTTTCTTTTCACTCTTTTAGTTCATTCTTTCATGATAGATCATGCCATCGAGCCAGCTTAGGCATATAAACACTACCGAGCCAAACTATGATGCGCTCTTCGCAATGACCATTTGTGGCACGGTAACGTTATTCTCTTAACACTGACGCTACTCTATAACTGTCTATTATCAATAAGAGTGGGAAGTGGAATGCCTTATCCCAAATGACTAATCGGTGCTGTTTAGGCACTTTTGTTTTGAAAGAGGTTGGAGGCAAAAGCGTAGGCTGTCTTGTAAACAGCTACTCCATCATTTTTAACTGTATCATTGTGCTAGTGATTATGAAACTAAACATTTTGTCAATGGTGATAACAGTCGTAGTACTTATCGCATAGCCACCATCCCATAAAACTTCTTGTAATTGTATCAGTATATCCTCTTACTGTAGTGCCTCAGATGCTAATTTTCGCAATGACTGTTCTTCTTCTGCAGCCTGTGCCATTTAGATGGTACCTACACTCGATTTTCAAAAATAGTGGGAAAGGAATGCCCCCTTGATAGTCGGTGGGGTAATACCCCTGTCACGTGGCTACCACGAAACTTCATTTAAGTACTTCTTTTCATCTAAAGAGATGCAGTTCATGTCACACGGCCTCCATTTCGCCGTGCGAGTTAATTGAAGCTTTTGGAAACGGGAGTTCACTAATGACCATTTGAGCTTGATGGAGTACCCTCGTTTTCACATAGCTATTGCTATGAAGAAAACTGTGCTAGCAAAATCGTCTTAGTAATCTCAATTATGGATTTAAACATTATACTTCGGTTCAATGTGGCATTACACATCGTGTAGTGCTAGTTTCAATTCCACTTTGAGGACATCAATGTCTGTACCCTCTACACCCATTGCTTCGCCAAGCCGCCACCGGCAAGTGTTGTGTCGTATTTTTTTGCTTATACATGTACGGGACACACACATGTGCGCAGTGCACTTTATCCTTTTTCGCGTACTTTCTCGCTTTAGTTTTAGGAAGTATGCATTAAAAAAAAGAGAGGGAGAGTTGTGTACATTGCTTGAAAACGACTACACATGTGAAAGATGGGGTGTTTCAACAAGTGCAGCAGCACTGCTTCTGCCCCATGCGAATCCCGTCGAAAACTTACACTAAGCCACATCACCATTCTCGTAAAGCTCCATTAGGGAGTTGAATGCTGAAAGGAGGTAAATAGAGTTGGGTGGTGGCCGTGTAGCAGGGTTATAAAAATGCAGGATACTCACTGGAAAACACTCTCTTGAAGAATAGAAGGTTACTTGGCCACTGAAGTAAAAGAGCACTTTGCTGGTTAATTTGTGATATAAAACCCCAAGAATTACAAATAAAATTAGAGTATAAAGCCATTTTCAGTATCAATTACTGATAGATTATGGCTCAGATAGCTAGTACGTAATACTGTATTCAAGCTTATTAACTCTCCAGATTTATTGCACTTCAACAAACGTTGTAACCTTTCTTGTTAGTACCCGAACTGATCCCAAAGACTGCAATGCAGGATACTCACATACTGGAAAACACACTATTGAAGCATAGAAGGCATCACATTAGAATCAGTTACTTGGCCTCTGAAAAGCACATTGCTCGTTAATTTTGAAGATTTTGTACTCGATTTTCAATAACAAGTTTCATCTGACATGAAATCAACTTTATTGTATCTGAAATTCGTGATAAGCATATCTGCAAAAGTGTATCCATGGAAAGCTATTTGTTATTTACTCCATGATAAGTGATGATTCGTTATTACTGTGTTTGTTATATTAAGTGTTGAATGTATCGCTGGCCAGTTCAGTCTGTACGTATGGACGTTTGCCTAAGTGTACTCTGGAATGCATCGCAAGGTCTTTTGTGGATTGCAGCTGACACGATTTTCCTCTTTGCTTTTCTTTTCAATAAAAAGACCACTGCGTGCACTACTATGATTTGAGAAGTCTGAAGCAGCCGCTAGGTGTTTTCAAGGGCCACAAGAAGGCTGTTTCTTATGTGAAGTTCCTCAACACAACAGAGCTGGTGTCTGCGTAAGTTGTTTGAAGACAAACTTATGCAAGTTCTTTGATCCATGATTCCCACCCACAAACTTGAAAAAATATCCGTTGTAAACTAGTGGCACACAATCATTTTGGCATTGCTGCTTATGTCATAGCTGCACATTAAGCAAAAAATAAGGGCTCCTAAGTTTGGTGCCCCAACATCAGCAACTAAAGAGAGAAATATGCATTTGGATAACATTCATTACCCCTCTTCTGTTTTGGGGTCTGGTGATTTCAACGGCAGTAAAGTCGAACCCTTCTAAAAGAGATACTGATGTAAGAGACAAACTGGTATAAGGGACATCAGTGTGCCCACATTGAAATAGGTATTAATATGAATATGCATGCCTGGTACCCTGCTTCTAAGAAACACCTCGTATAAAAGACAAGAATTTCTGCCCAGACAATGTCTGTCTCTTATAAAGGGGTTCAAATTTATCACTGCCCCAATCGCTATCGCTTTACTTATTTTCAGTGACGTAAATCCTTAAATATCACAAGGGAGGATGCACATCTTGCAATGGTAGCCATATTGTTTTTATAAGGGCTTTATTTTTAGTTATATAAAATTAAGATTATGCACTTCCAAAATAATAATAATAATAATAATAATAATAATAATAATAATAACAGCATGATTGTCAGCACCTGATCTGAAAAAAATAGCGTTGAGCAGTTGATAGTATATAAGCCTCGTCGCATGGCGAAGTTGCTAATAGCATCTTATTGTCAGGTTCTAGCGTTCTTGAAGTCGCGTCATTCGAGTTGAAGAATGCAATAAAAATGCCAGCACTTCTTGCACTAACACTTAAACGTATTCCGTATCTTCTGTACTGATTATAAGTACTTAGTTTTCGTTCATTGGACGGGCTTCAGATTTCAGAGCTGGTTTTAGGAAAAGTCCCTTGTCCTTGACTGTCCATAAATTTGGAAGATACGTTTCAAGGCGGGGGACACTTGAAAAGGGTGCCCCTACCCGCCTGAACACATGGGGGGGGGAGGGGGGTCAGGACTCCTCCGACTTTTCTCTTATAGCTGAACACATCTGCACTTTGTTTTAAGCAGTGCTTAGTGGAACCATATTGGAAAGAAAGAGAAATACAATGGAGCTTTCTTAGCATGTGTGCATTGTAGTTTGCCCTGTAAATGAAATGCACTGGAGCCTAAAATGTCCCCTGACTTCTGCCATGCTTCTTGCAATGTGTCTGCAATTCTTGAAGCCTTTTATTTGTTTTTCTTTCTGTACAATTTTTTTTTCATAAAGTGTAAAGTGTTAAAAGCTGCATTACAGTTAATTTCAGTAATAATGACTTGTTAAATGTAAATGGTCACTGAAAAAAAAAAAAACTAAACGGGTAGTACTGGGTTATTGTACACTACAGTTAATCGCTTGCAAAAATGTGATAAACTTTATTAAATTCATGTGCACACAGATCTAGCTATTGCTACTACTACTGGTAAATAATCATGAGTAATTGAAATTTTGTGCTTTTTTGTGTGAATAATACCTTAAATTATTTAGCTGTAGATGCATGGAATTATAAGCAAAGCAGCTGAATTAGCATGTCACATTGCAATTCAGTCTTAAGATGGTGCTTTGCAAAGTAAGAACAGTGTGATACTCTACATGGGGACAAACAAAAAAACATCGACTAGCACCAACTTTCAACTGAACTTTTATTGCACAAGAAAGGAGAATATATATATGGAAAATTTTTCTTGAAAAAATTTAGGCTAGTTGGTTTCGCAATACTTTTTGATGCAAAACCAATTAGATCAAAGCTTCTCTTACTGTGGTGCTTTGGTTTCAAATGTACATAGACTGTCATTTGGAGTGCATAGAATGTCATGTCAGGCTGAAAGCGCTTAGCCTCATTTGGAGTCTACTAAGGCCAGAACAACTGGAATTTTATGGAAGAAACAGTAAAACTTATGTTCCTTGGCTGGTAACACAGACGTTTAGTAAAGTAATGGTCACCAAAGGAGTTTATGCAGAATGCAATGCATGCATGCATGCAATAAAAATAGGTGCTACCAAGTGCTCATATAGTAAGTACTACCAGACCATATCAGACAGCCAAGATGAGTTCTTTTGCTTATGTCACCTAAGTGTAGCCTTCTCAGAGCTGTATTGGTGGCACCCGAGGCGACGCTTCTAGTTTTGGCCTGCTGCAATTTGAGTGGGAGATAAGGGTGTTTAAACGCGGCAGTCTCGCAGTAAAGCTAAATTAAGAAGCATCACTATATACAAGGCAATTTACATAAACACCAAGGAAAAAATGAAGGTTTTATTTTTTTATATCAGTCATATTTCTGCTAATTACTGTTATTGTAGCATTTTTCAAGTCTGTATAACCATTGTTCTCCCCCCCTCCCAGCTCCACTGACAGCCAACTTAAGCTGTGGAATATCAGCAAACCCCACTGCCTGCGTTCATTCAAGGGTCACCTCAATGAAAAGAACTTTGTTGGCCTTGCAACTGATGGGGATTATGTGGCATGTGGTAAGATCAATGCGTGTCTTGTTTTTTTGTGTGAATACTATTTGTGAATACGGTTGCTCTTCAAATGCCTGTTACGTGCCCAAGCCACTGGTTAATGTATTTGTCCATAAACACGCACATACACCAGCTGATAAGTCCTTTCCGTACAACTTCTTTTTGATATGTACATGTATCTGATTTGCTTTGCTGGTTCACAGTACTGATTACTCAGTGGGAAGGCCAACTGTATGTAAGCCTGTTGACCAAATTAAATCATTTTTAAAACCATAATTATGAGCATGCCAAGCGAATGATCGGTTTGTTTTTCTAGCTTTTTTTTATTTGTGCATGCTTTATATCTCACAAATAGGAACAAGGAATGCTTCATGCAAAAATATTCAGTTCAAATGCCACTGTATTTTGTGTATTCTTTTTTTTTGGAGTGGATGTTTATTGCTACTGGTAGTCCCAGGGCGGCTAAATGAATTGGACTTCTTAACTATCTTGCTTCTATTTTGCACTTAAGTCATATGCCATAACATAACTGCAAAATATTCCCTAGTGGGGCATTTTTAGCCACTTAGTCATTGCAATTTTTTATGTAAATGATGTTTCAAAGATTCGTTGAGACTGAAAGATCTGTTAAGACTGAGCAGTATGTTGAAGTACTGAACGGTATGTTTATTTGTCATTTTAATAATATGCAAGAGGACATTTCTTCTTACAGTCTGAAAGGGAGGCTGTGCTTTCACTTGGCTATTTCCATGTTACTGTTGGTGATGAATTGTATGTGTTAAGCAACTCTGTAGTCTCTAACAACAGCCAGTTGCACCTAAAGTTTTGACATAGCCAATGCCAAATACATATAACTTTGCTGCTGACTGTGCGTTATGAGCTGGAATTGCCTCATGAAGTGAAGCAATATTGTGGTTGCTCCTTACTAGTGTCATACTAGTGTCATAAATTAATATATGTTATGATCAGTTTTTATAATGACATTTAAATGTGGATTTTGATATATGAAACAAACAGAACAATCATGGCACTCTTTGGACACTCATGGTCTGAAGTATTGGCTAAGAAGTTTTTCAGAGAGTCCACTGTGACACACTGGGGTCCATATTTATACTTTGTCACCGAGCTGATAATGCGCTTCAGTGCGATGCTGATTGTACTGGTGGTAGTTGATACGCTGTTGGTGGCATATTCTGTGTCTTGCCATCTATCGTGTTTCCTCGGCTCTTTGCAAGAAGTCGTTCAGGTTGGGTGGATTGCTGTTTTCATCATTTAGTGGTAACATGGCATCCAGTGGAGTGGTGACTGTTCGACCGAATAGAAGTTGAAATGGTGCCACTCGCGTTGTTTCTTGAGCGGCTGTATTATATGCGAATGTGATGTAGGGCAATATTTCGTCCTACAGTTTATGTTCCACGTCGAGATACATTGAAAGCATAAGTCAGAGTTCTGTTCAGGTGCTCCGTTAGGCCATTTGTTTGAGGATGGTATGCCATAGCTCTTCTGTGATCTGTATGGGTCATTCACATCAGATATTTCATTAGGTCTACAGTAAAAGCTGTTCCATAATCTGTAATTACAATGATGGGTGCGCCACGCCTGAGGACTATGTTGTTGTTGAAAAACTTGGCAACTTCAATAGATGTTGCACTGTACAGAGAGTCAGTCTCAGCATAACGGGTGAGATAGTCCGCGGCTACGACTATCCACTTGCCTGCAGTCGATGTCGTGAAAGGCCTTAGGAGATCCATACTAACTTGTTGGAATGGGGCATCTGGTGGTTTTATTGGCTGGAGGAGGCCTGCTGGTTTCACGGATGGAGTTTTGCGTCTTTGACACTAACAGCAAGTTTTCACGTAGTGCTGAACTGTTGCTAATAGCTTTGGCCAGTAGTATTTTAGATAAATTCTGGCAAATGTACGGCTGACACCCAGATATTGGCTCAAGTCCAGATATTGGCTCATCATGACATGCGTGCAGAATCTCGTCTCATAAAGATGTAGGTACAACTAGTAAAAACTTGTCACCATTGGGCTCGAAGTTCCTCTTGTAAAGGACCCCTCCTTGAAGACAAAATGAAGGAAGCCATCTGGATAAAGTCCGTGGTACTTTTAATGTTGAGTCATTGGAAATGCTGTATAAGCGGCTGCAAATCTGGGTCATTTCGTTATTCTTGAGCGATTTCTGATGCCTGGACGACGCCTAGAAGTGGGAAGTCTTCTTCCTCTGGCTCACTTGTGTCTACTAGTGCGCGTGACAGGCAGTCGGTATCGCTGTGTTTTTAAAGACGATAGTCTTTCTTGGGGACCTTCGAGAGAAAAATTTTGGTCTGTGTGTCTACTGTCTATGCATTTGTCTGTTTGTCAGCCCTAGCACTACTTCAAACGGCACCAAACAACTGATCCCATCCGCAGCACCCAAATATTGCTCAAGGTTTAGCGTTCATCATTGTGCGATTGTCAATTAAAAAGCAAATATTGCACATATCTGAGGTGCCATAACAACATGTTCATGTTTTGTATGTCTGTCTTTATACTAGGAGAGGCACACACAAGTAACTCTAAGGACTGTAGCGTTTATTGCGCTGCGCTGACAGTGCAACGCAATGCTCAAAAAGTTAAGTGTTTGCAACGCTTTGCTACAACAACACTGTGGTGGCTACTGTCCATAGCTTTGCGTTCTACACTTTATCACCTCTCAGACAGGCGCGCATCTTTCTCCGCGGACGCGCACGCCTTCGTTTTCGAAGATAACTGCCAGATGGCGCTCGTGTCTAACGTGCCTCGATGTGCTTGTTCGCCTCCGCTACACGCTCGAGACACTCTAACGCAGCGCCTCCAGAATACCATTCACTGATTTTCTTGTGCAGAACATCAAATAAACGTTTTGTTCATTCTCTCCAGACGCAAGACTATCGTCTTTCAACAATATTTGCAGTTTAACCTGTAGTTATGGGGCCAATTTTTTTCCCCAGATTTGCATACCACAGTAATATCGTACTGTTAAAGCCTAAGGCTCCATTTTGCTAATCGGCCAGAGGGATCCTTAAGATTCGCCAGCCAGCACAGGCAGTGGTGGTCACTGATTGCTCGGAATAGTCTACCATAGAGGTACAGTTGAAATTTACTTATGGCCCAAATGACCACGAGAAACTCTTTTTTGGTTGCAGAGTAGTTTGTCTCAGCTTTCGAAAGCTTGCGGCTGGCATACACTAGCACTTTTTCTTGACCATTTTGCCACTGGACTAGGATAGAATGGCTCCGAGGCCGACATTACTCTCATCAGTGTGAACTTTAGTTTCAGCAGTCTCATCGAAGTGGGAGAGGATTGGAGATGCTTGCAGGCGTGTTCTTAACTCATCAAATGCTTCCTGTTGTTCAATTTCCCACATAAAGGGCATGTTGTCTTTTGTTAGATTAGTAAGTGGTTCAGCAATGTTAGAAAAATTTTCCACAAATCGCCGTTAGTACGCGCATAAACCCTGGAAGCGGCATACCGACTTCTTGTCTCTGAGTGTCGGGATTTTCGCGACAGTAGCTGTCTTTTCGGGATCTGGAGCAATGCCTTCCGAGCTGACGCAGCTCAGCTCTTCTCAGCTCTTCAAAGCCGAAGTGGTATTTTTCTGGTCTGATGGTCAAGTCTGCTGAATTTGATGGCTTCTAGTACTGTGCTGAGTCTCTCTAGATGTTGGTCAAATGTAGCTGAAAATACGACAATGTCATCCAAGTACACCAAGCAGGACTGCCATTTCAGTTCCATGAGGACAGCATCCATCATTCTCTGAAACGTCGTTGGCGCTGTGCACAGGCCGAATAGAAGTGTTTTAAATTCATTGAGGCCACCTGGGGTTTCGAATGCTGTCTTGTCACGGTCCCCCTCATTCACCTCGATTTGCAAATATCCGCTTTTGAGATCAAGGGAGGAGAAAAATTTTGCACTCTGTAGCCGGTCGAGTGTATCATCGATACGCGGCAGAGGGTATACGCCCCATTTGGTCACGCGGTTCAGTTTCCGACAATCTACACAGAATCGAAGGGTGTTATCTTTCTTTTTTACAAGCACTATGGGAGATGACTATGGACTCCTGGAAGGCTGGATCACGTCATCTGAAAGCATCTCCTCCACTTGTTTCTTGATGATATCTCTTTCCTTTTGTGATGCACAATATGGGTGCTGGCATATCTGTCTCGTGGCTTTTTCTGTTATAATCCTGTGTTTTGCAATAGCGTGCATCGCACCTTTGAGCTGGTTGAAAGGCAGTCCGAAAATTCTTTTATAAGAGCACACAATCGTTTCTTTTGACTTTCTGGGAGCCTATGGTTGACGTTAACTGATGCGTCGATGTTGCAGGTCTCTCGTGGAGTGGTTGGCATTGTCGCTAAGCTGCATAGTTCGGTCGCTATGCAGAACTTGTGGAAATTGGCGATAGCCATACCTTGCGCGATGTGTTGACATTAATTCCCAAAAGTCGTTAGGACAACTGTGCGGCCATTCGCTAAGTGAACAATATCCCTCACCACACAAATTCCTTTGTTTAAAAAGAGCCCTACAATTCCATTTGCTATTCCTTTGTGGTCACAAAATGCCTTATTTTTGACAAGCACCATTACACTACAGTGTGGTGGCACTGTGACGTCATCATCATCAACGACGCACAGAGCAGTAAGACGTCGCTTTTTCGATTCCTCCACCGACATAGCTTGTTTGGTCAAAAATGTTACACTGGATCTACGCAGATTAATTGTGGCTCTGTTGGCTTGCAGAAAATATATTCCTAATATAAGCTTCCTTGAACATTCTGACAGTACGATGAAATCGGCGACATAAATAAAGGCTCTTATTTCGAGCCTTGAGGTGCATCTGCCAAGTGGCATAATAGTGTGGCCACCTGCTGTGCGTATCTTCATTTCGTTACAACCTTTTTCATTTTTTTTTGCCAATTTGTGGCTCATTATTGAATAATCAGCGCCGGTGTCAACTAAAGCATTCAGCACGTATCCGTCTGTTTTTAACTGCAAATCTCAAGTAATCTGCTGCTCTTATCCTCTGAAAATATAGCACCGTCACCCTGAAACAGTGATGGAGGATCTTTGTAACTGTAGTTATTAGCGGCCTCACCTCCACAGGTCGCTTGCATCAGTTTTCCGTGTGTGGGCTTGTAAAACAGTGCCAAGGCCATGTAGAAGATGCACGTGGATTGGGTGATCGGTAACGCCTGGGTGACAGCGATCTCGGCTGATGTTGGCGTGGAGTGAGTACTTTTTGATATCCGCTGACCGTTCACTGTTTCGAGGGCATGGTGCGTACAATGAAAAGCTCCTTAATCCTGCCTGTCGGTAAGAGCAGAACCTATACAGGTGACTTGCTTCCCCGCAATGTAAACACAAAAGCCTGCACTTATGGTCATGCCAGATGTCACTTTTCCAGGGCCTTTGATCCACGTAGCGAGCTATGCTATGGGCTGGTGGCAGGTAGGTAGCTGTCGGTTTCAGTGGACGAGGTGCGCTGCGTACTGTCGGTGGGTAAGGAGCGGCCATCGCAACTGCTGCATTGCTGTGCGCCGCGGGTTGTTTGAGTGGGATGCGTCAGATCGGCTGTGGCTCACGCTCCGGCTCGCGTATAATCTGCCTCAGTTCATGTCGTATTATGTCGAAGACAGACAGTGCTGCTGTAGTGTGAGGTTCTTGCTGAGCTTTCCCTTATCACTGATCTGACGAGTTCTCGCAGGGTCTTCATGTCATTTTGCAGGCCTTCAGAGGAGGCATTGGCAGGCACACAGTTTATGTCCCTATTGTAGTGTTAAGCCCGCTGTTCTAGCATTTTCTCGATGGCTGTCGCTTCCGTATGAAACTCCGCAACTGTTCGTGGTGGGTTGCGGATTAGAACAGCGAACAGCTCTTGCTTTACCCCACGCATGAGATGGCACGGCTTCTTATCTTCAGCCATATTGGAATCTGCACGCTTAAACAGGCGGATCGTGTCCTCGATATACATTGCCACACTCTCGTTGGTGAGTTGGTTTCTGGTTTCAAGAGCAGCCTGTGCCTCTTCTTTGCGAACGGTGCTGGCGTAAGTAGCCAGAGCTTCTCTACGAAATTCATCCCAGATAGGCAAGGAGATCTCATGGTTCTCATACCAGGTTTTTGCAAAGTCCTCCAAAGCAAAGTATACACAGCGAAGCTTCTCTCTCTCGTCCTAACCATTCAAACTTGCCACTCTCTCAAAGAGGTTCAGCCAATGTTCTACGTCTTTGTACGAGTCGCCATGAAATACTGGTGGCTGGTGCGGCTGATTGATCACCAAGCGTGCCAGTGTTACCTGGCTAGTCATGGTGGTGGCGTCTATTGACCGAGTTCCAATTGGCGTGAAGTGGAGTGGACTGAACTTTAGTGAGTCACCTCGAAGACGGCTACTGGCCCACTGATGCACAGGTGTCAGCTCCACAGGATCAACTAGCTGGTGGTCGAGGCTACGCTGTCCTGTCTTGCTTTCGTAGGGCTTCAATTCATTACCCAGCACCTCCACCAGAAATGTAGCTATGTTGAAAGACTCAAGGGAAAGTGTGTGTGTGTGGGGGGGGGGGATGAGAAAACGTATTTATTAAAAGGGCGAACCTGTGTCCACAACTCAAAGTGACTATGGTTGTAGAACTACGCGTCAGCCGAATACCAAAGGTGTCCTTCAGCCGCCTTTTTCTTCCTTTCCGCGAGATGTCCCGAGCACGTGGTGCATCTCAGCCGAGTTCAGCTGGGTGCTTGTGCCATCATTGTTTTTGCGCAGCACAACACGGCACAAGTGTGTCCCTGTGTGCACGGTGATGAACGCATTGTTTGAATGGAGGCAAGATCTTGCAGCAATGTGAAACTGACTGATACTGTCTCAGACTTTCAAAATCATTTCTAACAGTGTAATTAAGAAAACGAAGTCTTTTTTTTAGTGTCACTCATTTTTAACACCTTGGTAACATTGTAAATTTGTGCAATGATAAATTGGTTACCTCAGGCTTTGTGAGAAGAGCACTGGCACAAAATTTCGAAGGCAAGATAATGAGAGAGATAGATTTATGTGGGAACACACACATCTACAAGATATCAAGGGCAAATATAGCCTAGAACATATTTAGAATCAATTTTATAGTGCATGTCCCATGACTGGGTGAGATCCGGGCCCCTCTCAGCACCGACATCAACACAGGGGCAATGCAAGCAAAACAAAGCTGTCATGAGTATGTGTTAGTTGATTGCTCGCACGCGCCTCGTGCATGCACTACCTGCAATTTCCTGCTCCGTGCTTGCAACTTCGTGTGTCCTGGCTGTGCTGGCTGTCAGTGTGGCACCCATGTCACAGTTTTGCGTGGTCACGTGACCAGCTGTGTTTACCTTGTCCCTGGAACTGCTTTTGCCTAGCTCCTAGCTCTCCCGCTGTGGGGGTCTAGTGGCTAAGGTACTCGGCTGCTGACTTGCAGGTCGCGGGATTGAGTCCTAGCTGTGGCGGCTGCATTTTCGATGGAGGTGAAAATGCTGTAGGCCCATGTGCTCAGATTTGGGTGCACGTTAAACAACTCCAGGTGGTCGAAATTTCTGGAGCCCTCCACTACGGCATCTCACATCATATGGTGGTTTTTGGACAGTAAACCTTACATATTAATCTTTTTGAAACCGGAACTGAGACTGGGTGCTCTAAAAGACATCTCTAAATAAATAACCGTCGCATGCTCACTCAAATGAGGTTTCCAGCCATGATGAGTGGGCCTTGAGCTACCTCTTGCAAAAAAAAAGTTCAAAATTTTTGTGTCAGTGCTCCTGGTATGTCGGTGATTATTAAAACTGTACATACAAGACGGACAGCCAGTGTTTTCTTTTTCTTTCTTCCTTTTTTTATTTTACCATGCCTTGTATGAGAATGTTGATGGAGCCAGAAAATTTTGAGATGCACCATGTGCAGTGTTCAATTTGTTGTACTTTTCACACAGGAAGTGAAAACAATGCTCTGTACATTTACTACAAGGGGCTGTCCAAGCAAGTGCTGACTTTCAGGTTTGACGTGGTACGGAATATTTTGGTGAGTGAAAAACCCACCTTCAGGTCCTTCAGGTGGGAAAGCATGGCATGTTTTTCTGATCTTTTTTTTTTTGTAATTTAAGGAAAAGGACAAGAAAGAGGAAGACAGCAATGAGTTTGTGAGTGCAGTGTGCTGGAGAATGGTAAGTTTTGTAGTGTTCACAACCAATTCTGCTACACTACAATATTTATTAACTTATAGGGCTCCAGTGTAGTAGTAGCAGCTAACAGTCAAGGAACTATCAAGGTATGAAGGCTGGTTTTCTCTCACTAATAATTAGCTCTTTATAATATTTCTTGCTTCTTTTATTGCAGGTACTGGAGTTGGTATAAAAGCTAAACTCCTGGCTGTCTTGTTCGCGTTCACTTACCGTCACTTCATGCAGTTACGAGGCAATGCTCGTTGGATATAAACGAGCCATTTAGCGACTTTTATATTTATGTACATACTGCATTCATTTACCTTTTACACTTTGTTTGCTCTTCAAGTTGTTTTTTATGTGTTGGCGAAATAAATGCAAGGAACATGTTGTGAAAACTTGCTGTAAAAGCGGTGTGGGTGATTTCTTGAATGGCTCGTAACAGTTGTGTGATCAAAAGGTGACCTGAGAGACCTGACCACTTTGGTGTTGTGCATTTATAATCTTGCAGCAGTGTTTGCTAGTGCTAAGAAAAAAAAAATCTGCCGGTTGATTAACTGGTTTTGAAGTAATGGTTGTAAGTAAATTGTAACATGCTCGAAAAATGATGCAGGTGAAGATATTTTTCTCTTTAAAATAAACTTCCTGGCTGGGCGCTTACATTAGCGGTTCCTTGAAAGCTTCTTGGTGAGCCTCTGCGAAGACTTCATTCAATACTGTGTCTATCCACTTATAGTGTTATCCTACATGATCGGACATTCAACTCATATAAAGAAGAAAGACCTTCTATGGGAACACATAATGCACGAGTTCTCTCCTATTTCGTAAAAAAGTAGCATTCTGTACTACAGTGCATTGTATCGTTGCTTTCGTGCACAAACCCCAAACTTACTTTTTTTTATTAAGCTTGTCCTTGCTTTATTTTTGTTATAACTGTTACTTTATTGTATTGTATTTCAGCATAGTACAGTAGACTCTTGTTAAATAGAAAATAAAGGGACCAGGAAAATAAGTTCCTTTGAACAGGAGGGTCGTTTACCGAGAGATGAACAGGGGTGCAGAATACAAGTTGTAAACTAATCGTATCAGAGAGAGTTGTTCCATTTAAGTAGCCATTCCGTTTAACAGATTTCTGTTAACTGAGAGTCTACTAGATACCACCTAAGCAAAGGCTTTGAATGCATGTAATTTTTTTTGTCTACCCGAACTAAATTATTGGGCTAGCCTAGATTAGAGGTTAGGCTAGATGCAAGATGTCGTGCTTTTATGCTGCTAGAAGGGCAACCAAGGCCTAGGTTTGGGCACCTGTTTGGAAACTCCTAATAAATCGTGTGATGACCTTCCCATCGTCCCACCCCAAGACCTTTCAGATAGCATCCTGACAGAAGTGTTCCATTGTTCCCCCTGATATATGAGCCCAGAATGGTATTGCTCCTGTCACACCATGCAACCAATCTCTTAATGCTAAGAGCACTTTATCAAGTGTACTTGATCCTTTGAATGCAAACAGTGGGGCTGTTTTCATTACTAAAATCAGGCTTAAGGAGGTAGTGCCAACAGTTAACTGTTCCTACACCAATGCAATTGATCATTGCTGTCTTATTTTCTTGCAAATGAGTTCTGCGGAAAACCGCAAGGTGGCTGAAGGGTTAGGAAAGAGAAATCAGACAAGCATAGATTTGTTATAGTGTCTCTATTGAGACAACCACCTGTTTGTCGCATGAGGCCACAAGGAAATCCATACGAATTTCTCAAAGAAAAGCCTCTTTTGTCAATAAATACGATAATTAAGGCTTTACATTCAAAAACCACAATATGATTACTAGATGCCATAGTGGAGGGATCCAGCAATTTTGGTATCTTTAACATGCACCTAAAATATGCACATGAGCCTTCAGCATTTCACCTCCAACCTCCATTGGAATGCTACTGCTGTGGCTAGGACTTGATCCTGCAACCTTCAGGTCAGCACACGGGCACCATAGCCACTGGACCACCGTGATGCGCAATAAATGCAGTGTGTGTGCACGTGGTGTGATATAATGGGAAATTTTGCATCATTATCACCATTAGATTTTGGCACTCGGTTTTGTTCAATTTTGCTGCAGCTATTGGCATATGCAGCTCACTTTGAGCACACGGTTACTCTCACAAAATGCATGTAGTGATCAACACACTCTGCTTGATTACTGACAGAAGGTTGGCCCAGGCTAGCGAGTCTTAAAATTTGTGCTGCTTGTGGGAAAAAACCAAGCATTAGTTTTTTCTTATAACTGCCATCACAGCCTCTGTAAATTCACAGGCACAATCTGTCGTAGAAACGAGCATTTATTTTGCAATGAGAGCAGTTAATAGCTTGAAACTAGATTTTTCTTGTTTATCATTTCTGTTACGCCGCTGTTATTATGTAATCATCAGGCTGCCTCCTCATTCTTATCTTCACCCTCAGTCACTTTATAAGGATTAAAAGCAAAGCTTTTTTGCCACTGTCACTAGCGGCCAAAGTTCCGCTTTCCTATGGAAGTGTGCACAGTCGTCACACGGGAAGTACACTCATCACAAAGCTATCGTGTCGCTTTGACACTTGGAAACTTGTAGGAGGTTTTGTGCTTTGAAAAGACCTGCGAGAATGGTGGCATCTGTGCATTTGCTTTGAATGCCACGGCAGCAATGTTGTAGCAGATAAAAGGCATCATTTTTGGAATTATAAAACTACTCTTGAGGAGATGCCAGTGCCCATTGTGAAAGTTCGTAGCACTCGCGCTAAATGTGTTTGAAGACAAAGGATCTTTGTAAGCATCGGTGAAAACAGAATGGAGCTCAAGACGAGAAGGATACTGTACAGCACTTGTGTCCTCCTTGTCTTGTGCTCTGTCTTGTTCGCGTTGATTTTTACAAAAATGCTTCGTTTCCAACTCGACCAGCTTTTTACCTTGCTGATGACAAAGGAACTCGTGAAATCAGAATATTGTTTTGCGGGATGAGCCATCAGCATAAACTAAAATGCAAAAAAAAAAAAACAAGTAGAGAATGCATGTTTCACGTAACTACATGAAAGTGCGATAAATAGTTGCTCTGCGGCTGGTGTCTTGGTGTACAAATAAAGTTGGTGTTGAAAATCAAGGGAATGAATGCATTAGAGTAGTTTCAGGATCATTTGAATGTATGCTATCAGTATTTTTTAAACGCCAAGCAATGGGCAAATGAACAAGATGGATGAAAGAACTAGCTTCACAGCAATGACATTTGGTGTTTGCTTTTGATAGATGCAGCACTATTTCAACAGATAGCTGTCATTTGAGGCAAAATATGTGGAATTGTGCCTTTCTCTGTATTTTTTGAAATAATTAAACAAAGTTCCACTGAGGAGATTCTGCTCTTGCAGGAAGCACCCTTAGTCCAGGTCTCTTAAAGTCAAGCCAAAAGCTGCTGATTTATGCATGAAGAGAAGTGAAAATTTAAGGGCTTGGCTCTCTTTGTTATACACTATTAATGAAAACTAACAGTCTGTTCTTATGAATATTAATTCATGGTTGCGACAAAATAAGTGTGATTTTCAAGATAATTCAACGGGCCCTCCTCAGCTGGATGATGGGCTAGCTCTCTGCAGAAAGGTGTGCAGCTCAGGCTAAGTTGCAAGCTCTCTGCTGAATTCGGTGATATCTGGTTCAGGTGTCTATGGCCATGCTGTGAGCAAATAGCTGTGTTTGGCATGTTGAAAAAGTTGGGGCCTTTTTAATTGAATTCTCAGCAGTCTTCAATGGAAAATTTTGGTTATGCTTTAAACATTGTAAAGTGTCATATAGGGAGCATTGTAGGAATTTCAGAAAAGTGTTCAACAATAGTGATAGGAGGAACTTGAATGTTGCAAGGTGGCAGCACAGTGTGAAGTTCTCAGCTACTGTTCCTGCATTAGATGCTGTTATTGCTTGTACCAACTCTTGTAAGCAGCACTACTTTCCAGTTTTTTTTTATGTCATAGCTGAGAAATTTTCGCTCCTCCTCTCTTATTTGCATATTGCATGGCACATTTCTGGTTGATGTTTTTTGATGCTGTGTTTTGAAAAAATACTCTAATTGTTTGCATTGCTAATGTCTTATGCCAGGGCACTTTTTACGACCAGGGCCGATTCGTATTGCAGTTCTTCATCACGATCAGCAATAGAAGGTGCTACTTATGTGGTGCCAACTAATCTGGATCGAATTTGGCACATACATCAACCAAATCGGAATCCTGCAGTATGGAAGGTCCTAAAAGCTACTTTGGCTATCTCATCATAAAACTAAACGAAACTGCAGATGTTTGCCTAGTTTCTTACTTTGATTTTTAATATCTTAATATATTTTGGATAGATCGATTATTTTTGGAGATAATTAGTATTAACATCCCTTTCTTTGCATAAACAATACAAATGTACCTGTGTAACATTAAATTAGGCCATGTATAGTTACTAAAATGTAGCCATGTGCAAATATTTTAGCACTTCGAATATTCGAACGAATATTACTGCATTTGAATTTGCTTCGAGACATATTTAAACTATTTTAAATTTTGAAGTATTCGAGACGAACGAATAAGCATATGTTTATTTGCATGTAGTCTGTAAAAGTGATTAGCATAGGAGAGCTATGCCAAGAAAACTGCTATAAAAAAATCTGCAGCGCACGGCACAGATAGCGAAGTTTTACTTCAATGTCAAATAAACGTATAATTCACTCATCAATTAATAATTTCTTAAGTTTGAAAGCTTGTTATGTGGGCTTGTATGCTCTAAGTAAAGTAAATTTTAAAACTCAATATATTTTACCAGTTATCACTTGAATCCTACAAAAATTTAAATTCTGCTGCTATTCTAAGTTGCTTTAACCACACTTGGAACTGAAGTAAGTAACACTCGCATGTGCCTTGTTCCAATTTGAAAAAATATTGTGCAGGTTGATTGGGTCTTGACAAATACACTCATTTTTCTCTATAATAGGGAATATACAATATTCAAATGATTCACTTTGAAATTATTTGACTAAGTTGCTGTTCGCTCTGTACCTAAAATTTTCTATTCGCTCATCCCTATTAAATGCACAAGTAGTGCAGTGCTTATAGCTGATTTGATATTCTAATATTAAATTATGGCACAATGAAGCTCATTATTCATATATATATATTAAGGAAACTAAAACAGAAAAAAACTCGAGCCCTGAATGAAAAATCTGCACTCAGAATTGCCTTCCTTGCTTATTTAGCTTCATGCTGTAAGAAAAAAAACATAGCTCTAGCTGTACTACGTTTAAATGTCTTAGAATTTGTGCTGAGCATTGCCTTCCCTGCTTATTTAGCTTCATGCTGCTAGAAAAAAAAAAACAGCTCTAGCTGTACTAAGTTTAAATGTCTTGGTGCAGTAAACAAAAAGAG